AACTGAACATACAAATCACGGATGAGTTCATAATCTGGATCCACGGATGAAAAGACTGCTTCGCTCATTTATGCTACACATTCTTCCTTTTGTCTTGTTCAGCACAAACCATTTGTGAAACAAACTAACAACATAGGTGGCACTGTGATGTCCTACTAATGGCAATTGGAGAAGATGCACTGAATATATTGGAAGGTATTTCCATGGCTTTGGACCAACTGCTTCTATATTGCCTATCTGTTTTTTGTTTTCCAAAGAACTTGAGAGAGAGAATAATAGTACTCAGTGCTGGAGAAGAATACTCAACACCTAAATTGCAGGCAATAAGTGAATGTATCAGATGTACTGTATTTTCTTGTCATTATCCTCCAATCCCAAGTACCAGTCTAGATGTCTAACTGCTAAAGAAGATTCTGCTTTTGTCATGGACATCTAACAATTATCAGTCATGGCAGCCATACTAAATTTCAGAGCTGGAGGTGAACTATTCAAGCAGTATGTATGTGCTGATGTGTTAAATCCACACTACTGAACTGATGGGAAGTCACTAACCGAAGTCCCTGGAGCCAGAGATTGTTCAAATGCTAAACCAGTGTTTGACTTTTGATTGCCTCTTTTGCAGGCTGAGAGAATATTTTTCTTCATTTGGACTAATTGGGGAAATCTATTAGGACTGAAAAAGCAAGAAGACTTTTTCTCCCCTCTGGTCTGTGAATAAAAAGGGAGAGGGGAGGGGGTGAGATGTTACTGTAGCTTGAAGGACAGGCTAAGCAATTCAGGAGCTTGGCTCATTTTCTATAAACTTAAGTGGGAAGGAGCCTAAGCTCCAGTCACTTTCCATTTGATTTCAGTCAATCCAGATGCTTTTGTGCTACTTCAGACAGATCAGTTAAGGCTTAAGCTATACCTTACTTCCTTGGGTTCTATGGAAAATTCAGTTGAATAGGGCATGAATCATCCTCAGATGTCCCTGACAGTTCTGGTTTTCCATTCTCCTCCAGATGTCCTCCCCTTTACCTATAAACAGTAGGTTCTTCTCTGATCTCCCGATCCAGCAGAATGGGACAGTCTGGCCTCCTAACCTGAATTTGCTTCATCTCACAGCTTGATTCCTGTTCTGAAGCCATGGAAACCGTTCTTAATATCACCGAAGACTCCCAACAAGAAATGTTACCTAGCCAGGTAGAGAGGTTTCTCTGTCTTGGCCCAGCCAAGTTCTGTACCTTTAAACAATGGATGTTCCTGCTATTGTGGACTGTTGTCTTGCACTCAAGACAATGGGCCTTTCCCTTTGCCCCCTGGTGAATCTGTAGCAAGCTATCCGTGTATGTCTCCTGCCATCAGACAGTCGCTTCATTTCTAGAGCCAGGAGCTCATGAAGACTGGAGAGCTGGCCTGGCCTGGCCTGGCGATGGGGCTGCGGTGAGGCAAGCAGAGGCTGGAGAGCAAGGCCACCCTGCACAGAAGTGACTCCTGTCTTGTGGGGGGGCTGGGCCTAGTTCTCTGCTCTGGCACTGACCTGTATATGGGGGTCTCATTGAGTCAGGGTTTTTTGTTCATTCTCTGTGTCAACAAGCATCAGAGGGGGAGGAGACCTATGCTTTGCCAGTGGTTTTTACATACTTGCTGACATCAGAGGAAGGTTGAAGCTTGTGAAGCGCCACTGTAGACTCTGGAGGAAGTGTTCTGCAGTGATCACAGGTCCATTTTGTATCCCTTCCCTCGAGTCTTTCCCCATGCTTCTGGTGCATCTCTTACTTGTGGGCTTCTCATTCAGACCCATTCTTTCCCCATCTCTCACCACCTCCCTTCCCCTGGTTTTGTCCTCTCTGTAGTGTAGACATACCCTCAGAGGTTTTTTCTGGGAAAAAACTGTTTTTCCGAGGGAAAAAAAATCACTTACATCCACACTGCAATTGCGTTCTTTCGGAAAATTTGAAAGAACAGAGGCGTATGTGGATGGGGAAGAAGGAGTTCTTTTGATAGCAGTGGAAAAAGCACAGGTGCCCTGGTGGCCACTCTGCCCATAATAATCACAGCTTACATGCTAGACAGCATCCATTCAGTGTGGATGCTATCTGTTGAAAAAGCAGATCACTTTTTTTGATGTACTTTGGCAGCGTGGACACTCTTTTGGAGGAAGATTTTTTTTTTTTTTGGAAGATCTCTTCTGGAAAAGCTTCTTCCAAAAGAAGCCTGTAGTGTAGATGCCAAAGTCAGGCCACTTAATGCTCCATGGGCCCCAGCAGGGAGAGTGCTGAGGTGAGCACAGAAACCCTGGGCTTGGTGCGTGTGCCATGAAATCTTGGGAAAATGTGACAGCCAAAAACTAACAAGTCTCCAAGTATGTGGGACCTCAGATTTTTCAAAGGCTTATACTTTGGCCAGATTTGGACACTTCTTCATGGGCACAGCAGAAGGCACAATGGCAATCCCCACAAGCGCAATCAAGTCCTGTTCCAAAGCTTCTCAACGTAATGGTTGTCAGAATTGTTGGGTGACTTTTCCCCAATGTTTTCAGAAACAGCTGAAGTATTTTGCTGAAACGTTCCTCAATCTGAGGTGGACAGGCTGATGTGGAACAACTTCAGCCTAGATGGTTAAAATGTCAGTTTTATAAGCAGCTAAAACTAGGAGGTTTTATAGGGGAAATGTTGGGCCACCTTAGGTCTAAATATAGTACTATCTGTTCCACGTGCTGTTAGCTCCAAAATGCGAAATTTAACTGTATCAACGATCTTAGACACAACAAACCCTTCATCTTGGCAGGGGGTTAGACTAGATGGCATTTTCAGTCCCTTCCAACCCTCTGGTTCTATGACCTACTCCAAAGGGGGTGTCTCTTGTGCAGACTATGGTCTCAGGCCTCTCACTCATCAGGGAACCAAATTCTCTTCACCCAAAGCAGGGATTTAAGCTGCTGTCCTCCAGCAATTTGCTGCAATTCCAAGCAGTTCTGGCCTCGCTCAGCACATGTAGTTTCTTTTCTCCCCAGGAACAGGAATAGTTGTTTGCTCTGTGAGGATTGCCATTTCATTGATGGAGCTACAGTATAACCTCTGTTACAAACTGGCCGGTCAATGACACAACCCATTTGGAGCTAGCAGCATGCAATCAGGCAGTGCCAGAGAATAAGCAAATATAACACAGTATTGTTCAGCATAAACTACTAAACAAAAGGGAAATTGGCATTTTTCTTCTGCAGAATAGTTACAAAGCTGTATTAAATCAGTGTCATTAACTTTTGAAAGAATGACCATAATGTTCAGAATTATGAATTTCAGAGTTAAGAGCAACCTCCCTTACCTTCCTTCCTCCCCCTCCCCCCCGCCCGCATCTCCCTTCTGTTCTGAAATGTGATTTGTCCTTTTCATATGTGTTCATTTTTTTAAATTGTATCCTTTGGTATATATGGTTGTGACTGTTTTCTTCCACTATTTGATCTGAGGAAGTGGGTCTGGCCCACGAAAGCTCATCATCTAATAAACCATCTTGTTAGTCTTTAAAGTGCTACATAGTCCTGCATTTTGCTCCCTTCCTGGGGTGTTCATAACTCTGGGGTTCTACTCTACTTTTAGATTTTCTCTAACTTTTCTTGTTCTTGATTAGAAACCATGTGAGGTATAAACATACACTGAGCTTGTCTTGAGTCCTTCAGCCCCTTCGAGCCAAGTTCACTCCTTGGTTACACAGACCGCAAGAAAGCCTGTCTAATTCAGCTAACAGGAACTACTAGTCTGCTATTGTACTTTAGGGCAGTGTTACTCAACCTTTTTTTTTTTTATAAAGTACCCCTTAAAAAAATACCCCCAATACCTACAGTTTTCAGACACACAGCATTGTTTTCTACCATTGCAACACATTTGTTTAAACAATTTAATTGTAGCTGGGTGAGTGATGAAATTTTTGGGTGTAAAAAGTACAAAAATAATAAAGTGCTGTAAAACTTAAAACAAATTCAGTTTTCTCCAAATTTTAATTGTTGACGTACCCCCCAGACTTCTCTCGAGTACCTCTAAGGGTACGTGTACCATTGGTTGAGACACACTGCTTTAGGGAGCCAAGTAATCTGTCTTAAAGTTGTTGATAGCCCAACGTATTAAGAAGCTGGCTTATGGTAATGCCATCATTGCCCTTACCATGGAAATGAGTTCTTGGATTCATGCTGTGCAGGGTTTTCTGAAGCTATGCATCTTACTTTAAAGTACCCTATGCAATTGCAGAGGGGAGAGTGATTCATCATACAAGTGGGGAGGAGGGGAAGCCTGTTATGCTCCATTGATGTAAAGAATCTTTTTTTCTAAGAAATGTCCGTTTCATACAAAACCCCAGAAAAAAACAATTCTTCAGGTGTCAAATGTTTTTCTCACCGTTCAAAATCCCAGTTGCAGTAAAACCCTTGAAGTGCAAGCCGTAGATGACATTGTTTTGGAAGCTTTGCTTTTGGATTTGTGGTCCTTACTTGAAACAGTATCCAGCGTGTTTAAGGTAGTTTTAACTGCAAGACCTGTTTTGATAACTGTACATAAACAAAGCTAAGGAAGTATTAAATGTAATTAGTGAATTGTACTGATTGTTTCTAGCAGGGATGTAAAATCCTTTTCAATTGGCTGACCGATTAAATGGAATGTTTAACTAGCAAGCCAAGTTAAGGGGACAGGCAGGGGACTGGAGTGGCCCCCTGCTGCCACAGACAGGGGCTGCTCTGGCTAGGCTGGAGCACTCCGCTGATGTCGGACCTCGTGTGGCTAGAGCAGCCCCTGCTCGCAGCAGGTGGGGAGATGCTCCAGCCCCCATCGGCTAACCAGATCCTGTTACGGGTGAGGCTACTGGTTAACCATTCACATCCCTTGTTTCCAGTCATCCTATGCCCTTCAGATTTTTTCCAGTTCATAGATCATCTCCCAACTCATTTTTATACGAAGATTAGAAAATAGCTTTCCTGTTTTTTCAGCGCCTGCTGGGTATCTCACCTGTGAACAAGCTAGTCCTTGAACTGAACTGCAATCTGTCTGCTGCTTTGTGATCATTCCACCAGTTCTATCTGCATATCAGTATAGTACTCAATCCACCTGCATAGCCATGGATGTCAGGAAGGAAAGCATCCAGGACCTTTACAGTTAGAATACATATTATATTGGCTCAGCCTGGCAGGGGTATGTACCATTCTGGCCATCAGTTTAACACGATATTTCTCTGAAAAAGCAAAACATTCAGGAAAGGGCCAGAGGATGCTACTTGTGCTCTTTTGTTTCCTCTGTCTTGGTAGTTTGAGTCTACAAGATGCGCACAGAACTACTAAGCACTACAGGCTCAGGGTGTGGGTCTCCCCTCCCCTTTACCCTATTTACTGTGGGAAACAATCACATGTGACTTCCTGGGGAAATTGTCTTGTTCCTGGGAATGCAGTAGGCTTCGAAGCGTTTTCCTAGTTTTGCAGCCACTTCCTATGTTAGAAACATATCCATTTGTGTTCTAACTGCGATCTGACTTGTTTCTCATCTGGCCTCTGTCTGATCTGATTATTTCTCCCTTCTGGAAGTCTGCATGGCCCTTTGCCCCGCCATGCAGCATTTGTCCTTAGGGCTGAGAGGCGTTAAAGACGGTGAATTACTCAACCCAGATGCCGTACACAGCAGGGATGTGAAAGTGTAATCGTGTACGGTGAACCGATGAACCTGGGCTCCTCAGTTAACCTCCATGGTTACATGCAAGCTCCTAGTACGTGCAGGCGAGCTGGCTTTAAAAGCCAACTCCCAGGGTGCTGCTGCCTTTGTATCTGAGGCAGTGGGGGGAGCAGATGGGAGTTGGTGCGTGTGGGGAGCTGGCTCAAAAGCCTGTGCTCTGTCCCCGCTTAAAATCCTCCCGTACGTCCAGGGAGCCACTTGTTGCTCTGCGTGTAACCACAGTTACATGTTTACTTAAATGCATTTTAACATACCTAATACACAGCAGTCTTAAGGAACAAGTGTACCTGTTTTCAAAGGCCTTGCTGAGAGGGGACATAGCAGTAGTCAATTGTTAAGTTTCTAGCATCTGTGTTGTATAATAGGCGTAACACGTTCATTTGTCAAGTCCCATTTGTTTGTGTGTTTTCCAGATATGGCAGCCATTCGGAAAAAACTGGTTATAGTGGGTGATGGTGCCTGTGGAAAGACCTGTCTGCTGATTGTATTTAGCAAAGACCAATTCCCTGAAGTTTATGTTCCCACAGTGTTTGAAAACTATGTAGCAGATATTGAAGTGGATGGAAAGCAGGTAGGTACACGTTTCTGCAACAATTAAGCATCACTTATGTAGTCACCACACTATGCTGAATAAAGTATGTGAAACTTCTAGAGAGGTATGTCCTTATAGGACCTAAAACATGTTTGTGGCATGTATGGGGAGAAATGTCCTGTGAGTGGCGATGTGTGTCTTTTGTGTGTGTCAACAACTCCCCCGCCCCCACCCAATCCTGCTTTGAGTTGAGAAAATTTAAAAGAATGTGATTGTCCAGGGTATGATTTAGTAGCAGTAATTCATTTTTCTGGCAGTGGTGGATGAAGTAATGTGAAGAGGGGACTAGGTGATAGCATTTCTGGGTGCATTATCTGATTCACTACTTTAGCAGTTCCATCACTCGTAATTTTGATCACACTATGGTTCTTCATGGGCTTCCCTATTTCCTTTTGTGGGAGTTACTTTTTGGTGGCAAGCATGCAGTGCCTAGTTCAAAACAAATATCTGGAGGTGAGTGCCTTCTCGTAGCCCTGGTACCAGCCACCCTCATCTCTATGGAATGAGATGCACCTTCTAGCTGCCTTTGCTCCTTCATTGCCACCAGTAGTGTGAGGGGTCCTTGCTGGTGTCCAGGCTGACTAAGACAACTTTACTAAATAGCTAATAAGGACGGCTAGTCTAGTTAAGAAACTCAGAAAATAATTAAGTATGCATCCCAGAGCTCTGAGCCCTAAGACTCTCACATGCAAGAGCAAACATGCCTCTCCCTGACCCCAAAATGGGGTTCCAGGTGGTGTACCTCTTGCCAGACCGTAATCTGATATGCATGGTCGTTGCCATCTGTCTGGGCAAGGCATCTCGGAGTATGAACAGTAGCACTTTGACTTCCGGAGCCCGGGATAGATATCAGAGTGCAGGCCCACCTGGCTGCCTAAAGCTTTCAGCCAAATGCAACGTAGGGCTCTGGTCTGGCTCTTAGACCAGACAGAACCAGCTTCAGTGCTGAGGCATTTACCTGTGGCACCCAAGAATCCTTCCTCCGCTCCAGAACCACCAGCCATAAGGGTGCAGCTTCCTCATGCACACCAAGCATTCAGTACTTGAAGCTGGTTATGCACCTAGAGGCACCAACTCTGCAGAATGCCGCCTCCTCCTCTGACAGGCTTCTGGTCCAGGCTCAGAGACTGGCTATCTCTGCCTTGAAAGGAGTGCCACCCGTGCACCAGGAAAGAGAAAGCACATTACCAAGGAGGGTGGGCATACAGGGAATGGCACCTTGCTCAGGTACCACGTGGTAGTGTGCGCAACAGCCCCCAGCATCAGCCAGACCCTCAAGCCAGATATGTTGGTGCCTGTGCCTGGAGGAATACTGCCACTACGGATTCCTTGGACACCATCAGTACTTGTCAGCTGGAGCTCAGGGCCCCCAGTTAGAATCCTCACTTCTCCCCTGTCCACCCCAAAAATCTTCAGCTAGCCCCATGGCTAGGGTCATTCCGCTCTGGGGCTCGTGAAGCACCTTCGAGTCAGAGTCCCCTGTGTCAGTCTCAGCACTGGGACTCGGACTCTTCTCTTCTCCTCGGGCATAGGGTTACTGGACTTGCTTCAGTTATTGAGGCCCTCCATGCAGGATCCAGTGAAGGCCTTGTCTAATGCAGCAATAGTTCCACTTTCCAGGACACTGCAGAAGGATTGCCATTGACTCCAGCAACAATGGTTGTCACCAGTGCTTATGCTACCACTGGTAATGCTACCAACACCAGAGCTTTGGCATCTGTCCCACTCCCCCTGATGTTCCAGACCATAAGATGGACCAGTTAATGAGGAGAGCAATGAGCCATAGGAGCCAGATAAGTTCCCTGTTGGGAATACTGCAGATGCTACTTCCTTAGACAATCAGACTGGAACGGTCATGTCCCCACTTCAAGTACAAACCGTTCCTGAAACTTTTAGGGAGGATGGCTTGTATCCTTCAGTTACGGACTGGGTTTGCAGCCCCAGAAACATTCTTTTTGACATTTTACAAGGAGATAATTGCCTAATTTCCCGGTCAGAACATAGTAAAGTATGTGGTTCTCATCTGTTTCCTCTTTCATCTGCTACAAAGAAAGTAGACAGGATGTAAATCCCCCCTGCTCCCCCCCCCACCAGTTTCTGCAGCGGCACTTGCTTGCCAACTCCCTAGGCGTGTTTGCTGCTTAGAAAAGATGTTGAGAGATTAGAGCTGCTCAGTCAGCCCTCCAGAGTACCAAATATAAACAACTGGATCCTTTTGGATGAATTTTGTTGGGACTCTCTGGGCCTCCGGCTTATGAATTACCAACCTGTAATGATGGGATACAGCTACACTGTCTGGAAGAACAAAAAGAAGCAGCCAGAACCCTGGCCCAGTTCAGGGCTTGATGTTGGCCACGCATGAAGGCACTCATATTGTGCTACAGGTGCAAGGGCCCAGGAAAATGGAGGTCTCTGAGAGAATTCTAGCTTAGTTATTCAGGGCTAATGCTATAATCTAAGTAAAATTTGAGAATCAACCTTTCAAGAGAAGCTGCCTATTTAGTGACACATGGAGTCGATCCTAGGAAAGACCTAGATAGCCATAGCTCATTCACTAGGTTTCTTCCAAAGGAGGATGTCCTGCCATACTGTTCTACAACCAAAACCAATGAGGAGTCCTGTGGTACCTTAAAGACTAGAAAATTTGTTTGGGTATAAGCTTTCATGGGCTGGAACTCACTTCATCAGATGCATGAAATAGAAACTTCATTTTGGCAGGGGTGTGTGTGTGTTTACACATGCAGATATGGGAGTATTACATTTTTCTTTGAGTGCTTGCTCATGTGCATTTGAGTTAGGCGTGCATGCAGTGCGTGCACGGATTCCAGAGCCTTTTTACCCCAGTGGTATCTGTTGGGCCAGCAGGGAGCCCCCTACAGAGGCACCAGTGTAATGGTGAATAAGTACCCCTGCTGGCCCTCCCCTCCGTCAGTTCCTTCTTACCGCCCCGACGGTAGCTGGAGCATCTCATCGTTCTGACCTTAGAACCCAGCATAGTTGTCTTTAGAGTGAGGAGTTTGCCATGTAGATAGTTAGTAATTAGGTGGTTCTTTCAACGTTTACTATTTCTCTCCCCTCTGGGGGAGGCTGATGCCGGGTCCGCAGGGTTTTAAGCCTTGAGCGACTTGTTCAAAACCCGTGCCCAACAGGGACCCCATGGCTCTTGTTTAAAGCATCTGGGGGAGGGCCACCTAGCAGAGTCCTGCAAAATCTGCAAAGGTTTGAAGCCGCACACGAAGAGGGAACGTGATTCCCGTTTGATACGGCTCCTTGTGGAGTCTGCGCTTCAGCCAGCATCAGAACGGGCACTGGCGGTAAGGAGTGCCCTGGCGTCGGTGCGGGAGCCCCCTGTGGCACTGGTACACGTCTCGGTGTCACAAGAGGCTGTGGTGCCGAGACATCGCTCCCAATCTCTGGCACCAAAGAAGGGGAAGCCACCTTGAGGGAGATCTCTGGGGAAGTAGGGGCACAGGAATCAGCACCGGGCCCATACCCCATCAGAAGACTCACCCCCTCGGCACTGGGATGCTCCCGGCCCCTCTAGACGCTGGTGGGGCTTGGTGCAGACAAGGAGTCCAGTTCAAGAAAGGGCCCTCCACTTAGGCAGATTGTCAACCTCTGAGACCTTTGCCACTGTGAGAGGGATTAGAGCTCATTGCCTCGCTGGTCTATCCCTGGCACCAGACCTGACGCCGTGACAAGCCAGACATGCGAAGCAGACAAGCCATTTGTCGGTGGCACCGGGACCCTCCTCAGCACCGGTAGCCTTGTTGGCACCAATGTCAACATCGGTGCTGGAAGGATTGCCCTCCTCTGCACCAGGTGGGTTGGTGCAGGGAGACAGGAGGAGCGGGTCGTCATTGACAGTACTGTTTCAGAGCAAGCCACCTATGATGCTGAGTCCCCCTGCTCCAGTGCACCGTGGTAAGCCAGAGTCGATGACTTGGCACCAGCGCCGGTACCTCTCTCAGGCACCTTCGGCACCACCCTGGTCAGTGTCGGACTATTCGTCAGAGTCTGACGCAGAATCGGTACGGTCTGGTGCATCTTCACACAGATCTCTGCACTGGTCCCAGCATCAGGGTAACCAGCCCCATCAGCCATGGCCACCTCTGATGCAACCACAGTGGACCTTTTGGACCCTCAGGGCCTATCACCAAATGCAGGGCCCGATGCCATCCACCCAGGGTTCCGGATTGTCGCGGCCCAGGAGTACACCGTCGGCGACCCCCTTGACTAGGGCCCCCACCTCGGCATATAGAGGCAGCCCACAGAGGGACTTGCCACGTCCCTTGATGGGGAGAGGGCTCGGGAGCTCAAAAGCAGCCCTAGTCCCTGTCAACTGCCCAGGTGGCAGAGCCACCCCTGAACCAGCCTGCAATAAGGGAGTCCTTGTCCTCATCACCCGACGAGGCCCTTGCTGACCCAGCTCCATCCATGGATGCTAGAGCCCACCAAGAACTGCTTGGACGATTGGCAGTGATGACTTGGACCCCATGGTCCTTTGCTTTGGGGATGAGGAGGTACTGGGAGTAGAAACCCTTTCTCTTGAAGTTTTGAGGAACCTTTTACACTGCCCCTCGCTGAAGAAGCGAAATCACTTCTTGATTCAAAAGAAGCTCATGAGAGGGGTCCCTGAAGAGGGACGGGGTGGAGGATGGGAGGGGGGCAAAGAGCAGAAGGGGATAGAAGGGTACTTCCTCATCCCCAAAGCTCATTCTTAGTGCGTAGCGCAGAAGACCATAGCAGCCACCTTCCAAACAAAACACAGAGAGAAACCTCCAAATATCTGGGCTGTGGAATGCCAGTGTTTTCAGGGCAATGCAATGGGTCCCCCAGGAAATTGCTATGGATAAAGAACAGACAATCCCGCAACCAGGTCCTCCATCCTTAAGTAGAGCAAGGAAACTGGATGTGGTGTACAAAGCACCAGATCCATTTGGTAGGCGTATATCTATGGGGGAGAAAATGTCCCATCA